CTTGACTCAGAGGCAGGAGCCTCAAGGCCATGAAGCTCCTATTCCATTAAATAGGAAACATGGCCCTATTTGCTACATTTGGATAAGAGTGAAGCCCAGTCTCTCTGTCCACGATTTCATGTGCTGCTGCTGACCAATTCATCAAGGCAATGATGCAGGGCCGAAACGATCCCCAAAGGGGTCCCAGTCCCAGTTTAACAAAGAATGTAGTGTTAAAAGCTTTTATAAGGCATTTTTTCTAAATCCTTTGGAATCTAATTCCTGAGACTTCTAGGTTTCCTAGAGTTAATAAAAATTTATCCACTTCCCTGACTTCAATAAATTGTTAAATATCTTCAAAGTTTTAATACATGTATGCATTTTTTAAAATGCCATGATAAGGAGTTTGGATTTTATCCTGAGAGCAGTGAGGAGTCAGTGATGGATTTTAGACAGAGGAGAAGACGATCAAATTTCTAGTTAAGGCAGATCCCCTGTCCTCAAGGATGAGAGAGGACCACTAAGAACAAGACTGGAGGCGGGGAGGTTAGGAGACCACCGCATGGGCACAGGCAGACAATCTGACAAGGGTCTGAGCTCAGGCCGTGGCAGTGGGCTGGGAGGGGGGTGGATCTGGAGGAACCTGCTAAGGAGGTGAGACTCACAGGATGGCTGATGGGCTGGGTGTGGGGGCTAAGGGAAGACCTGGGGATGGTCTGTTCCCTGCTTGGACGCTTGGCTGGGCATTGGTGCCTTCACTGAGCCGGGAATGTGGGAGGAGAAGCTGGGTTGTCTGGAGGGAGATACTGAACTCAGGCTGAGTTCCAAGGTCTCTCCTAGCATCTAGCACAGTGCCTGGCAGACAGGAAGCCCTCGGTATATAGCTGTGGAGGAAATGAATGAGTGAGTGAATGAATGAATGAGGTCCCACAGCCTTAAAAGCCTCACAATTCAAGGAGATGCCCTCTGAGTCTCTACTTCCTTCCCCTCCCATCTGAGTCCCAACTCCTGGTGCCCCAGCCACGCCTACTTTGCCAAAGAATTGCTTTGGCACCTGGAGCTTTCTTTATGCAGAAGCATCAGTTATGGCCCCCAAGTCTCCAGGGTGTGGAGGGGGTGTCCTGGGCTCCCCATCCCTCCTAATGTCCCCCTTCCCTGGAGTGGCTCCACTCTAGCAGACGTCCACAATGCCCGGCACTGAAGAAGCCCCAGGCCCAGCCCCACCCAGGCTGCAAAGGGTTCCTGTCTGAGAAGACTCCCACCACACCCAGGGGCACCCCTACAGGGCACTGCAGAGTGCAAGATGCTGAGGATGCTGGGTGGTGCTCCTTGTTTTTCTGACCGAAGATTTCACAGGGATCTCTGGGGTGGGTTGCACCCCTTCCTCAGCCCCTGCCCTCAAATCCCCATGATAGTGCCTGCTATGCTCACACTGACGTGAAAAGAGGCCTGTGGGAAGGCAGGGGCCTGGCCTGAGCTGGGCAGGAACACGGTGTCAGCTGGGCAGCTAGGCCAGGGCTGGGGGTGGAATGTGGCTACAGCCTTGATGAAGTTGGGGCTGGGACTGGAGGAGGCAACCAAGGGTCAGGCCATCCTGTCCCGAAAGAAGCTGAAGGACCAACAGACTGAGACCCAGGGAACAGAATAGCCAGGTCAGGAGGGCAGGCTCCCATAAGGCCATGGCTAGAGGCCTTCCCAGCAGGCACCTGACCCCTGGGCGCCAAAAGCTGACTGCCTGATGGACTCTCACAGGGGGGAAGACCCCTGGCCAGGATCCCATCTCTAGACTCCGGGCCATCCAGGGCAGTGTTGGTTGGCATGGGGTCAGGAGAGCAAGATCCCAAGATCTCCTGGGATGGCGCCAGGGAAGCCAAAGATGGGGCTGCAGTACGTAGGCTCCGCTCCAGACCACAGGACTCTCCGTCACAGATCCTAACACCCACCCCAACCCCTACCCCATGAGAACCACCACCACACTGGCATTTCCCTCCACTCCTCTCCCCTCCGCCCTGCTGCCTTGGGTTCTGTTTATGATCTGCCTCCCTTGTTAGACTGTGAGCTCCCAGAGGGCAGGCAGCCCAGCCCATCCTGGTGCCAAGGAAGTTTTTTAAATAAAATGAAGCACAGGGACTGGGTAGGTTCATGAATAGGGAAAGAGACAGGCCTCAGTTTCCCTTCTTTGCAGAAGCCAGACAAGCATCATCCAGAGATCTGGGGGCATGGGGCAGGGTGGAGGAGAGAGGAAAAGCAAGAATGAGGGGAAAGGGCTCCCTGCTGGGTGGAAGGGGACAGAAGAAGGGACAGAAAGAGGCAGGCCCTGCCAAAAAGAAATCTCAGCCCTCAATGTAACGCCCCGGGGGCTCCCAGTCCCATCCCCATCTGCTCCCACAGATCCATGTCCTGCTCACAGGCACCAGCAGGGCACAAACGATCATGCACCCACAAGTGCAGCACACATGCACACACACACGCACACATGCCAGCCCACAGCTTCCCTCAAGCCTGAGATCCACCTCCAGCCACCTGGCCCCTGACCACAGCAGCCAGACTCTCCCAGGCCGTGGGTGCCCTCTCCCCCTGGTCCCATCCCTAGAGCCTGATGCTGACCTGGAGCCCCAGAGGAGGTACCCAACGGCAGAGGGAAGAGGGGGGCACACCCTAATGCCAGAGGCAAGCAGAGGAGGAAGCTGGGAAGCAGGGGTCTCTGGCTAAGCTTGGGACACCTGTCAACACAGGCACTGCCATGGGTCCAGGCTTCAGTGTTGGGCAAGTGGTGGCCTAAGAGGCCTCCCCACTCACCAGGGTCCAAAGAGCACAGGTGTGGCTGTCTCGTGGCGTCATCACCATAAGGTCTGCCTGCTCACCCAGAGCTGGCCTGATCACAGCAGCTCTGCCTGTGGCCACTAGCAGAGAAGCTACTGGCCTCCCACCACCAGCACCAGACCATCAGCTCAAACATCTGCCCCCTCGGGGGGGCCAGCCAACCGGCCTCACTGGAACCCAGGTAAGGGCCTGGCCCTCGGGAAGATTAGGGCCCAGCCCAGCCACAGGGGATCCCAGGGCTGCGGGGGCAACTCAGTGGCTTCCCAGGCCGGGGTCTCCAGCCCATTCCCAGATGCAGCCAGGAGAAGCACCAAGAAGGCCTGGGACTGAGCCACTGGCTGGGAAGCAGGACAGGGGATCCAGGGCTCCAGAAGCATCCGGGCTGCTTCTCCTGGCGTCCAAGATGTACACACCCCTTCCCTGCTCCAAGCCCCTAAATTCAGGAGATAAATGGGGGAAACTGCTCCCCACCATGGGCAAGGCAGGCCAAAGCCAGCCGCCTCCCCACCTCGACTTGCCCACAGGGACCCGCAGGGACCATCCTGGCCTAGGGAGCATTGGGAGCAGGGCTGCTCACTCTCTCTTCCTTGTCTAAAAGAAGGAAGTGTTGCAGCCTGGGGGGAGCTGGGGAGACCGGGAGCAGGTTTCTAGCACTCTTATCCTTGGAGAGGAAAGGGGTACCCCAAACAAGGCAAATAGAGCCCCAGCCACCTCCTCCACAATCCCTTAAATGTTTACCAGCAACTGACTTCCCCATCACTGAGTTATCTTATCAGATCCTCTGTTATTTTCATAACAGTCCTATAAACGGGTGTGGGCTGCTCTCTTACACTTTGCCCAGGATATTCCACGGTTTCTGTACAATTCAGGTGCACCACGTAGACGCATGGATGCCCACAAAACTGACACCCTATTCATGATGCACACACACCTCATTCAAATAACACATACCCTTGACCCACGTGCTCAACTGACTCCTGCCCCTGCCCTGCATGCACACACGCACCACATTTACCTCCATCCCATTTCAACACATATGGATGCTAGAGCCCTCGGTGCCAGGAAGGCACTGGGGAGACAGTCCTCAGGGGGTCACAGCTCAGTGACAAAGAGGCACATTTATAAACAATTAAAGCATGGAGTTTGCAGCCAGACAGAGCTGGGTTCATTCTCTATTAACTACTCACTTGTGACTTCAGGCCTCTTACCCTCTTTGAGCCTCACTGCCCTCATCTGGTAAATGGGATAATAACAGTACCCACCTGGTGAGGTTGTTTTCAGGGTTAAATGAGAAGGTGAAGTCCGTAGAACAGTGCTCAGCACATAGAGCCAAGGAAGTATGAGTGATGGTAGTGAAAATTAAATGAGATAATGTTTGTGAGGGGCTTGGCACCAGGCTCAAAGCACTAACCCAGGTGGCCTTTGTTAGGGAGGAGTGTACAAGGTTCAGCATGGCCTTAGGAGGGCACTCTGGGCAGGGTGGGGTGTGGTGGTCAAGGAGGGCTTCACTGAGGAGATGATCCTTGAGCTGGCATTTAAGGGTTGGATGAGGAAGGGCTCTGGGCAGACGGTTCAGAGTCTGGAAAGACAAAGAGACAGGAGACATGGTAAGACATTCAGGGAAGGGCAGATTACTGACAAATCCTACAAAGCCCCATCATAAACGTGCATACACACGTGCGTGCGCACGCACACACACATCTCTCCTGAGCGGGTCCCCAATTTAAGAGCCAACATCAGCCTCCTCCCAATTTGCAGAATGGAAGCAGGTTTGGACAAGAGACTTGCCTTGGCAGGGAAGGCTGCTGAACCTAATGCCATCCCTCCAGGAGCTGGGTGCAGCCCATCCATCCAGCATCTTTCATACTCGGGCCCAGGAAGGGATCTGGTCCCAGGTGCCCGTCCGTGCAGCTTTCCTGGGCCCATCCAAATGCGCTTTGTTGACCAAGTAATGGGAGGCTGGGAGCTTGCCTTGGGGCCTCCCAGGCCCAGCCAAGTGGAAGGCAGAGCTGAAGATGGCTCCAGAAAGGCCCCTGGAATTGTGGCTTTGGGTCGGGTCCCGGGGACCCCAGGTCAGAGCCTTGTGCAAGCCTCAGGCCCGGGTCAAGGAAGAGCTGCAGTAGCAGCTCTCCTGCCTGCTCCGCCCTGTGTTCCTCTCCCCGGCCCTGACAGCTGTCTCTTCAGTTCTAGGAAGTCATCTCAGCGGCATCAACATGTCCCGGCCCAGCAGCAGAGCCATTTACCGTAAGCTCTCTCTCCAGCCCCATCTCCCCTTCCCTCCTGCTGAGCTCCCTGAACTCCCTGCCCTCTGTCTCTCCCTCCCCACGCTGACCACCTGCTGTAGTGGTGTAGGTCTCACCCCCTTGCTTTGTCTCCCTGCAGTGCACCGGAAGGAGTACTCCCAGAACCTCGCCTCAGTGCCCATGCCCCTGCAGTACAGGGTGGAGGTGTGTAAACCTGGGGCCCCAGTTTCCTGATTCAGCCCAAGTTTTCCCACGTGCCCACCACCCTGCCAAAAAACAGATGTCTCAGACAACTCCCTGTCATAGAAGCCAATGGCCCAACCCAGCCAGATCCAGCGGCTCGGGCCCAACAAGACTGAGCATCTGCTAAGTGCAGGGGAGGAGGACGGGGCCGCTGGGCATCGGCAGGGGAGGATAGGCTGGAGGTAGAGCGGGTGGATGTCCTGTCCCCAGGCAGGAACATGTAGCGGAGGGAAAGTCAGGAAGCACCTGCAACCACCCCACCCCACCCCACCCCTGCCTGTCTCCTGACCCACCCCCTGCCACACTGGTCCCCAGGGAACTGCTTTTTGCCCAGGATCTGGCGTGGCTGGAGGAAGGAATGTGTGAGGTCAGCTGTCCCTGTGAGGACTTGAAAGGGCCACTGTTGGAGATGGGAGGTGGCTGGGCATGAGCTCCCAGGACCGGCGTAAGCTGCTTGGAGGCTGGAGTAAGTCTCTGGCCCTGCCTAGGAGGACGACACTGGCATTGCAAGATCCAGTTGCCTGAAGGGCTGTCCACACCACAGTGAAAGCACAGACTAGAAGAGTGGGGCTGGGGGGAGCATTCACCTGGTCAGGCTGAAGCATCTGGGTAGAACCTGTCCCCAGGCAGCAGCAGATTTAGGGCCCACCTGGAGAAGAAGCACGGAGGGACACTGGGGCGATGGTCTGGAGGCTTCACAGGGCAGCAGAGGTAGGGTTCCCTCAGCCAGGTGGGTTGAGACCAGGGGCACTGGGCTTCATGGCAGGAGCGGGGCTGGGAACTGGTTTCACTTAGGCCCAGCAGGCAAGAGCAAGAGGAGGCATGTCCAGGATGCCGGGGAGTTTGCTCATGATGTCAAGGTTCCCTGAACATGCAGGCAGTGTGAACACTTAGAGAGAAGCTCAGAGCTATGCAGATAGCAGGGGGGTGGGATCAAGGGGCAGGGGGCAGACAGCATTCCCCTAGCAAGGGCCTGGAGGGGAGGCAGGGGCAGGGCTCTGACTTGTGAAGGTACATTTGGATGGGAGAAGGGAGGGGTCTCTTGTGGGAGGGAGAATTACAGCAAAAACCTGCCAAAATGATCAGACTGGCAGTGGGCAAGGGCCAGAGTGGAAACCGAGATCACTGTGGACCTTGCTGGATGAGAGTCAGGGAGAAGGTGGGGCTTGATCTTCTTCCTGAGAGCCTGGGAGGTGATGGACTAGCAGGGGTGGGAAAGGCATTCTGGGTATGGGGAAGAGCATGAGCAAAGGCATGGAGACAGGAGTGCTAGGTCAGTGAGAAGGACCAGGCTGGGATGGTGGGTTCCCAAGGCAAAGGAAGCCAGGGACAGAATTTGAGGGTCCTACATCCCACCCAGAGGAGTTCAGACTTTATTTGTTGGGTGGTTGGAGCCCACGTCTACCACCATCCAGGCCCCTCACCTGGCCTGAACTGTTAAAGGCCATGACTATCCTTCCTTCAAAGTCCTAAACCCTCTCATGCAGCCCATCAGATCCTGACTTACAGGCCCTATTGAGCCCAACCAACTGCTTCTGGCCCTCACATTGGCCCTTGAAGGCTGCTTCAAGGGGATTGCCTGGGACCTCCCAAACATGGAGGCCAAGGACAATTCTTTCTCCTCTGCTGACTTTCCCCCACCACCCATCCCCACCTACCACCGCCTGTGATCCCTCTCTCCAAACCTTCTCCTAGTCCTGGTCTCCTCTTCTCCTCTCAGCACCTGATGACGTGTAAGCTGGGGACTCAGAGAGTCCGGGAGCCCAAGGATGCTCTGCAGAAACTGCAGGAGATGGATGCTCAGGGCCGGGTATGGAGCCAGGACTTGCTCCTGCAGGTCGGAGATGGCTGGCTCCAGCTCCTGGACATCGAGACCAAGGTCAGCCCTCCCACCATACCCTGCAATGGGTCATAGCTAAACTAGACTGCGGAAAAGAAGGCACCGGCTCTTGAACTCCACCCCTCCATGCCCAAGCAACAGCCACCCCTCCCTTATATGATACACACCTAGGCTTAGGAAGAGACCAGGAACAAGCTAGGGATCAGGGGAGATGACACTCCATCCCAGGCCACTAGGAAGGCTGAGCCAACTCAGGTCAGGAGCTCCTAGGAGCCACCCTGACTCCCAGTGACCCTCACAGTCGACCTCTCTGCCTGGCCCAGGAGGAACTGGACTCTTACCGCCTGGACGGCATCCAGGCCATAGATGTGGCGCTCAACACCTGCTCCTACAACTCTGTCCTGTCCATCACCGTGCAGGAGTCGGGCCTGCCAGGCACCAGCACTCTGCTTTTCCAGTGCCAAGAAGTGGGGGTAAGTGGCCAGCGGTGGCGCTAAGGAGAGTAGGTGTGGTGTCCAAGAGCTATCACCCCTCCACACATACACACACACAGCCTGTCTAATTGCTGCTTCCTCCAGGCAGAGCAGCTGAAGACCAGCCTGCAGAAGGCGCTGGAGGAGGAGCAAGAGCAAAGGTAGGCAGCCTCTGCCCCAGCCCAGCTGCAGGACCTCAGAGCTTGGGCCTGAGTGGCCCAAACCTGGCCCCACATCTGGGGGAGCCCTGGTGTCTGTGGCCCAACCAACCCGGGTCTGGAACTGGGGAGGGACCAGGGTGCAGATGGGCATGGGGAAGGGGCTGGGGCTAGGCCCAGGGAACACTGGAGACTGTCCCTGGAGACTGATACGGGACTGAGCAAGCCCATAGGGCAGACAGATGAGACAGGGTGGAGACAGCGAAGGGCCAGACGGAGACTAGGGAGCAGGAGGGTGGCGGGGAGGAGGCAGAGACCAGGGAGCAGGGGCTCCTGGAGAGATATGGTGGTGCCCCTGTGTCCTGGGGCAGAACTGTGGACAGAGCCTCTGTCCCAAGAACACTGTCAAAGCTATGTCCCCACCATGTGCTCAGCAGACCACGATTTGGAGCCCTTCGCCCAGGCCAGGACAGATGGAGGGGGCCTCCTCTGGAAAGGTCACTCCATAACGAGCAGGTACCCTCTCTGGAGCGGGGGCCACCTCCAGAACAGCCCCACTGGATGACCCCAGAGAACAGTAAGTTTGGGGTGTGGGGGCAAGTGAGAGGAGAAGGTTTAGATCAAAGATCAAAGAGGTTCTGGGCCATGGTCCCCTTATATCGCAGACATACCACCACCCCAAAGGCCCCTGACACGTCACTCCAGTGCCCGAGAACCAAGCAGCTTCGCTCTGCCTCCTCCAATGCGGCCCCCATCCCCCGAGGACCCAGAGAGGGATGAGGTAACTCCAGATTGTCGTGGGCTTGCTGAGGCTTTCTGGACCTGGCCGAAGGGAGGACGCCAACCCTCCCCCTCCCCCTAGGAGGCCAGGTCCCAGACTGGCCAAGGCAGGCCCTGGGCTGAGGAGGGACAAGGAGGCTTGGTCAGACCCTGGGCTGGGCCTGAGGCTCGGCTCATGGTGGGCAGGGGGCAGGGGCAGGGTTGGGGGTTCCAGGGTGGGCCTAACTGCCCACTCAAGGCCACAGGTTGTTTGGGGTCCAGGAGGTGCTGAGCCACATCCTAAGGGACATCGAGCTGTTCGTAGAAAAGCTGAAGGAGGCCCAGGCAAAGACCAGTCGTAAGAAGAAGAAGAGACTGGGGAAGAAAAAGAAAAAGGATCAGGGGGGTGAGTGCTGAGGGCCAGGGGAGAGGAGTCGGCGGGGAGAGGGTCTTGGGTGATCTGTGACCCACCACCTGCTCCCCTTCTCCCATAGGGATAACACAGGAACAGTACATTGATTGCTTCCAGAAGATCAAGTACAGCTTCAACCTCCTGGTATGTGACTCCCCACAAGTTCCCCAGCTCTCTCCTCTCTCCCTTTCCCCTCCAGAAACCCCCTCCTCTCTGGTCTCATAGATGTCCCAAGCCTTTTGCTTCTCTAGCTTCTCCCCCTGGAAACTTCACCCATCCCCTTATGACTTCTGGAGAGTGCCAGGCTCTCAACCAAGCCCCAGAACAATTCTGGAGCCCTGGGGTCCTGGTGAAGGTGGGGTGGGATGATGGGTGGTGAAACGCATCATCCTGTATCCCCAGGGGAAGCTGGCTATCAGGCTGCAGGAGACAAGTGCCCCTGAGTTCATACACATCCTCTTCCAAACTCTGGACTTTGTGAGTTGGGGGAGGACGGGGTGGTGAAGAGGGACAGGGTGGAAGGCAGGGAGCAGAGGGAGACTGTGGGGTCTGCCACTTGCTCACCCCAACACACCCTCCTCCTTGACCCCAAGGCACCACCCCACTGTGCACAGCATTGGTCAGAAGACTAGATGGGCTGGGGTTGGAGCCAAGGACACCAGGGATCCAAGGGAGATGGGAAGGAGCAGCAGGCCTGCAGCAACGTGGCATTGCAAAAGTGGAAAGCCAGGGACTCCAGGCCCTTTCTCGCTGGCATTTGGCCCTGTGGGAGACTAGGATTCCTGACACCATCCATCTCTCCCCCAGATCCTGACCCAGTGCCCTGAGCCTGGCCTAGCAGCCCAAGTGACCTCACCCCTCCTCACCCCCAAAGCCATCGACCTGCTGCAGTCCTGTCTGAGCTCATCTGAGAGTAACCTCTGGAAGGGGCTGGGTGTGGCCTGGACTACCAGCCGGTGAGTGAAGACAAGGCGTGAACTGAATCGGGGAAGGGTCATGGGGGCATAGGGCAGGACATTGGAGGTGGCCAGGCCCTACGTTGTCACGAACAAGAAATGTCTCAAAACAAATTGGGGGACTCTACACGGAGTTCTCCAACTTTTTACTAGACTAAGTACAAACAATTTCTTTAAAAAACCACCACTTACCATCACCCACCACCAAAGGAAAGGCATTATCTCAGCAAAAAGGACAATTCTTCCCAAGAAAGGTGAGTTGGCAACCTTCTACTAAAATATATTCTCATTTTTATCAAGGACAAAGTGAAAACTTTGTCTCAATCCAGCCGGGAATTTTAAGAATTACTGACGTAAGAGAGGCTGCAAATGTAACATTAGTAAGACTTGGCAAACAACCGGCCAAGGAGCTGAGAGGGAAAGAGATATTCCGCAGTGGTGTAACCGTGAGCTGGGCAGTTGGACAATAAGGCCAAACCAATGAGAGCCGTGGGGATGGAGGATGAAACCAGTCTGGATACACTGAGCTGAGGTGTCAGTGGAACATTCCACAGACACAGCGTGGCCGGGCCCTCAGGTGAGAGGTCCGATCTGGCCACGTGGATTCTAGGGCAGTCAGCACAGAAGTGGTAGCTGGAGCCACCTAGAGGTAAGGGCTCCAGTGGGGAGCCCAGAACTCATTTGAACAGCACAGTCTGCTCTTTTCCACGCTAGAAGGGCCTTGGGAAACTTCTGCATGTAGGAGGAGAAAGGAGAAAGGGTTAAGGAGAGAAATTCCAGAGGGTTAAAAGGAGAAACAAAAAAGCAGAGGCATGACAACCGAGAGAAGAGGGTTTTAGAAGGACAGAGAAATCAACCGGGAAATAAGCCAGCTGTTCTAGTGAGTCTTTTACCTAATTTACCTGTTTTCAGTCTAGCCCCACTAAGGGATTTTTTGTCCAATCCATCTCAAGACATGAATTATAATTCAAGATAATCTATTTCTTTGTAGATTATACACAAGATAAAATTGACCATTTTAACCATTTTTAAGTGTATAATTCAATGGCATTAAGTACATTAACAATATTGTACAACCGTCGCCACTATCCATTTCCAGAACTTTCTGATCATTCCAAACAGAAACTCTACACCCATTCAGTAATTAATTAAACAAAACTCTCCCCAGCTCCTGGTAATCTCCCTTCCACTTTCTGTCTCTCTTTATTATTTCAAATAGAAAATTAAGTCAGATGTGCCCTATGATGTTTTCTAATTTCTTAAAATAACCAAATCGGTGAGTGAAAGAATTGAAAGACAGAAATACAGAAAAGAGACTAAAGAGATGTTAAAACCCTCAAAAGAGTTGAATTTCAGGCAAATTATATTTAGGTGACTTGATTTTAGGCAAATTGACCCAAAGTTATAGATAACATTAAATGCTGTGGTAATCCAGAAGGATATAAACCATACAAGGCCATTGTATCTGGCAATCAGGAGATTATCAGGACTTTAGAAGAAACAGTTTCAATAGAGTAACGGCAGAGGTAAAAATTGGGTTGAAAGGAAAAATGAAATACCCAGAGGTAAAAAAATGAAGGCTAGGCCATTTGTGACAACATGGGCAGACCTAGAGGGTATTATGCTAAGTGAAATAAGTCTCACTGAGAAAGACAAATACTGTATGTGGAAGACAAACAAACACACAGAGAAGGAGAACAGATTGGTGATTACCAGAGAGGAAGCGGGTGGGGGGAGGGTGAAAGGAGTAAAGGGGCACATGTGTACGGTGACGGATGGAAACTAGACTTTTGGTGGTGAATATGATGCAGTCTATACAGAAGTCAAAATATAATGATGTACACCTGAAATTTATATAATGTTATAAACCAATGTGACCTGAATAAAAAATAAATAAATAAGAAAATGTAGGCAGGGCATATAGACACATTCTCAAAAAACTTGGTAAAGAGAAGGTAACAGAATGACAGCTTAGAAAGAGTAGTAACAGAGCCGAGGGAAGACTTGAGCATGTTTTTAGGGCAAAGAAAAGAAATCAACCAAAAAGATCCAGAAGAGAGGATAATTTATTTGTTCCCATTGAATAAATACTTATTAGCTGCGTCCTATGTACCATCCACTGTACTCAGGATACAGCTCTCGAGGAGTTCGATATAGTAAGAAACACAGACATGAGAGAATCACGTGCAATGCAATGTGAGAGGAGCAATAATCGAGGGTGTCCCAAATTCAGCAGCAGCATGGAAGAGGGAAGAGTCACCTCTGCTCTGGTGAGGCAGGGAGGGAACTTCCTCAAGGAGGCGAGTGGGAATTCCCGGGGCAGGCAGTCGGAGGATATTCCAAGCAGAGCAAGCCTTCTTGGGTCCCGTGCAGCGGGTGAGGGGCAGGCGAGTACCAGCACCCCCGCCCAGAGTCATCCAGAGCAGCTCTCCTGTGATCACGAGGTGGAGTTCCACACAATAGTCAGCTAGAAAGAAACAGATCTGCTGCTGGGAAACTAAAAACAGGTTAGAAAAAGACTGCATGAGACCCCAAGGTGGTCTTCTGGCCCTCACGCTCCGTGGTTCTACCACTTTAATTCAAACCCCTAATCAGTGTGATAAAGTGCCCAGTGTGTTCTTATGGAGTTGACAGACCGCACATCATGGGCAGAGGTGAGGCTGGCCCACAGACCTGCACGGTGAGATTCATTCATGCTTAACAGTTTGATCCTTTGTGGGTGTTCTGGGGCTTTTCATCTGTGCACATGGGCCATGGCCTCTACTACCTAGAAGATCCCTGAGGCTAGGCCCTTCATCTCCTCCCTCTCCATATCCCACAGCCCGGCACAGAGTGGACTCAGCTTTGTTCTCTCTCCAGGGCCGACTGGACAGGCAATGAGCCCCCACCCTACCAACCCACATTCTATGACGGTTGGCAGCCTCCAACACCCTCCAACCAGGTAAGGGGAGCTTAGCACAGAGTCCAACTCAAAGCCCTGGTCTCTGGCTAGTTTCTGGCTCTCAGTCAAAACCATGATCACATGACAACCGAGTGGTGGGTGGGTTCATGTTGGTACCTCTATCTGTGTGGTGGGCAGGCAACGGAGGGACGTGAGGCAGCTGTGTGCAAGTGGGTCTATGGTCTGATACCCCAGCTCCCTAGAGCCATGCTGACTGACTTCCTGCTCTTGCTTACTCTGTTCTGCCCCTACAGGCACCCTCAGGATACCAGGACTCTCCTTCCCTCCAGTATGCTCTGGGCTTACAAATATATGACTCTGGGGAGGGAGGGACGGGGTTGATCCTAGGGATCTGTGGATTCTACATCTCAGGGACCCTCTGGGCTCTTTTTAGCCAGACACGTACACGTACAAGCACATCCCTCCCTTACCTTGGGTGAAAAAGCAGTTTTTTACCCTCCCAGGCTCCCATCCATTTTCACAATACTACCCCCACACACCTCTGATTCCCCAGAGTTCAGGTATAAAGTGCTAAGAGGAGAGCTCAGATATGGAAAATTCCACTGCTGGAAGAGTCTTAAGAAATCAGCAACATTTCAGACCCCTCCTGCCTGCAGAAACCCCCACTCCAAGCCCCCACCTAACACTGACCTGCCATTAAACTCTGTGGAAACCCAAAAGTCACCACCAGACTCCAGGAGGGATATATCTGGGGCTCTGGGGCTGGGATAGGGGCTCAATCTCTGAAGCCCCATTCTCCAGCCATCCTGACTCTGTCTCTGGGTGGAAGCCCTAGGTTAGGGAGCACCTCACACTTTGCTCAAGAGGAGACATACAACCATGGCCCTCAACCTGGGGACCCCAACTTCAGGCCCTCCAGCCCCGGACCTGTCAAGCCAACTCTGAAAATGCAAGTTCTATATGAGTTTGAAGCTAGGAACCCACAGGAACTGACTGTGGTCCAGGGAGAGGTGCTGGAGGTGAGGCACGGGTTTGAGCTAGAAAAGGAGGTGGTAGTTGGTGGGAGCTACAGGCAGCCTGGGGTGGGTGGTCCAGGCATGGGGCTGCTGGGGTGGGTGGCCTAGAGAGGGGGAAGGGCCAGGAGGGAGAAAGCTCTGTGGGGTGGGGGGAAGGCTGGCTGGACAGAGGCTCTGGTGACTGAGGTAGTGACTTTCGGCAGGTCCTGGACCAGAGCAAGCGGTGGTGGCTGGTGAAGAATGAGACAGGACAGAGCGGCTACATTCCCAGCAACATCCTGGAGCCCCTGCAGTCGGGGGACCCTGGGAGCCAGAGCCAGTTGCCCCATCGGGTACTACCCAGCCTAGACTATCCGGAAGCTATAAGGCCTGAGTCAGAGGTGGGGGCAGGGAGGAGTCACTGACAAGTAGAGGACGTAGTCCCGGCTCAATTACATCAGTATTATTGCATGCTTACTGTGTGCCAGTTTATCATGGGGCCAGAGCAAAGAACAAGCCTTGTCCCCGCCAGACAAGCAAACCACGGAGTGAGATAAGTGATCTGATGGGAGCCCAGAGAAGGGATCCAGGTGATGGGGGCCGTGGGTGGCTCTGAGATAAGATGGCCTCTGACCCCAATTCCCCTGATTCTAGGCTCCAATGCTTCGACTTAGCTCCAGGCCTGAGGAGGTCACGGCCTGGCTGCAGGCAGAGAACTTCTCTACCTTGTGAGTGCCTAGGCCCATGGGGTGGGTTGGGAGAACCTTTGTAAAGGGCTCAGATAATAACTAAGGAAACCCAGAGACCCAGAACATACCACCTGACCTACACTGTCCCAGACACCCACAGGTGCTGCCCTGTCGCAGTGCTGCCTCTGCTGAGTCAGAGAGCAGAAGAGAAGGCGTGCCCCTGCCTCGGTTACAGCACTAAATGAGAAGTCCTGCCATGGGGAAGGCAGCAGGAGCAGAGGGAACTCAGGAAGAAACTCGGCTGCCAGCCACCCCTCCCCACCACAAGATTCTCTTGCAGGCACTTCTCCCTTCAAACACAGGAGTTCCGAAATTGGTTTAAGCCAATATGCATATCTTACTCCTTCAACTCCAGATACCCTGTTCTGTGAATTCTCCCAGAACCCCAGCCTCCAAGCCGAAACAGCCCCTCCTCTACCCAAATACTCAGGTCCAAGTCCTTCTGCCCCAACACTGACATCTTCTGCTATTTCTGTTCCCAGCACAGTGAAGACCCTTGGGCCCCTGACAGGGAGCCAGCTGCTTCACATGAGACCTGGGGAGCTACAGATGCTGTGTCCACAGGAGGCCCCACGGGTCCTGGCACGGCTGGAGGCCGTCAGAAGGATGCTGGGGGTGAGGACACTCTGGGGTCCTGACCTCCACTGGAATGTGGGATGCTCCCTGGGTGAGAGTGAGTCAGGTGGACAAGCCAGCAGGCCCAGCCCTGGGGTGGAACTGAGTGCCGCAGGTACTGGCACACGGTATTCTCCCAGGGGCTTGACTTCATGTGCTCTAGCATGCCTTGTCCAAGCTGATCGTTGGCATGAGCTCTGGGGGTCCCTCACCTGGCACCAGCCTCATCTCAATCCTTTTGTTTCCTCAGATGGGCCCTTAGGCACCAACCCAGACACCTCCAAGACCAAGGCCCTCTCACAAACAAGATGGCAGATCCGATACTCTTCAGAGTCCCAAGAATTCCTCTTTCAGGTCCCCAGTTTGCAGCAAACTCCACACACCAGCTCACACAGCAAAGAGGATGAGCAAGCCCAGAGGTTGAGAAAAATGGTGCCCTTCTTGCTGTGTTGAGAGGCCTCCTGAGTTACCACTTATTTATTGTATCTCTTTTCTAAGCCTGGAGCACTTATGCACAGATTTGTCAAGGCTGTTTAGTCCTTCTCCTCCAGAATAAAGGCATCTTCAAGCTTGTCATGTGCCTCCCTTGCAGCTTCTTCTGGGCCTGATGGGGAACAAGGTAGGAGGGCAGGAAGAGCTGGGACACTGGGCATGAGACAGCAGCAGCCCTACATCCATCACTGGGCCAGACTGTTTGAATGTGAGTGGGAATTCCCATTACAACCTGGAGCTGAGAGTCAGAATTTGAGAATTATGTCCCAAGTTCTCCTTACTTTATTTCTAAACAAACTCCAAAATACGGCTATGCTTACCATGTTTATCCTTGTGTGCACATTTCCCCCAGTATTTTCCAAGGTACCCAACACAGCTGAGGGCACAACACTTCACAGGGGCAAAAAGTACCGGGGCTGACAGGGGTAGGTTTCGATGGGCCACACTGGCTGATGATCCAGAGAAGCACAAACAAGCATGTCAGGTGCTCCAGCCTCTACTTGGCAACTTCCTCTTTTAACACAACTTTTATCCCCTCCTGTTGGGTGAGCCAACCTTGAGGTCCCTCCCCAGCTTTGTCTGGCAGAGCATAGGGAACATTGGACAGGAAGTCAGAAGTCCACCAATTGGCTGTGTGAACTCTGGTAAGTCATTTCATTCTTTGGATCCTATTTTGAGTTTGGACTGTCTGTGGCTTCCAATATTTAGTATACACAGCCCTGTTTAATCTCATAACTGTCATGGACTCCTCTTCCCATATAACAGAGGCTGTACTTTTATTGATTTAGTCTACAGATAAGGCTTGATATACCTATGCATCAAGGGCCCCATGACGGTTCTTAAGATGTTCCCTTAAATCTCTCTTAGCTGAATTTGTCCATGACCCTAACATTGTCTGGGCCTCGGATTACTCTATGTTTAGACTGCCTGTGTCACTCCCTCAAGTTCTTGGCCTCAGAAAATCACCTCTCTTAGCTGGTAACACTGAACAGGAAAGCAAAAATTTTCCCTCACAAAAGAGAAGAAAGGTGAGACCCTCAGGGTCTAACTGTCAAGGGCAAAAGTTAACCAGAAAAGTTGATTTCTTGGGATGGGGAAAGGAGATATTAACCCACTGCCCTCAGGAGCTTCACAGAGCTGAAGGAGTCCTAGAAGCAGGGAAACTCTCCAGTGTTTTAGCCCAGTGCTCCCCAGATTTCCCAGTAAAGACTGAGCTGAGGTGGGGGGTGTCTGGATAGCCAACTGCAGTGGAACCAGCACAAGTTGTGCCATTAGACAGACCTAGGTTTGGATCCCAGGCCACCCATGGGAACTTGAGCTTAGAAAGGCAACTCATCCAACCTCTCCAGGCCTTGTGTAACTTCTTCTATAAAATGGGCATAAAACCTACTTCATAACGTTATTGTGAAGCTAAAGTTGGAATAAATTAGCTAACATATATGAAATACCTAGACTATTGCCTAGCACATCGCAGGTGTTCAATAAATGTTAGCTGTATACCTCAAGTTAACTTGAGACTGGCCTTCTGTTATCTTGGGAGAAGAAATCCAGGCAATATAAGTTCCTCTCTCCCTATGTATTTGCATTTTTTTTCCTTTGTTCTTTTTCGTGAAATGTCCTTTTAAAAAGTCCCAACCTTGGGGCCAGCGCCAAGCGGTTAAGTTCTCCCTCCACTTCTGCAGCCCAGGTTCGCAGGTTTGGATCCCAGGCACAGACCTACACACGGCTTATCAAGCCATGTTGTGGCAGGCATCCCACACATAAAATAGAGGAAGATGGGCATAGATGTTAGCCCAGGGCCAATCTTCCTCAGCAAATAGAGGAGGATAGGCAACAGATGTCAACTCAGGGAAATGTGATTTCCTACACCCAGGCAAGGGGTGGTAGGGGCTCAAAGTCCTCAGGAGCCATGCTGTGGAGGTCCTGGGCCAGAAACATTCGGAGTGGTTCTGGACTCCCCACCCGCCCTCAACTCGCACGGCAAAGATGGCGATTCCCTGGTGGTCGGAGTCTGGGTGCCACTCTCGGTGTTTGCCCACCTCCGCCCGACCCCAACCCCGCTTGATAACTATTTATGGCGCGAACCTCACTCTCCTGGGGTAATCAGGACCCTCACTGCCAGGGCTGTTAGCCCTCTTTCCGCCCTTACTGGCACTGTCAACCAACAGAAGGCAGCTCCCATCCACGAGAAACACAGAACCCCATCGCCACGTCCCCCAGCACGCAAGCCAAGATCTTGCCCAGCCTCGCCGGGCGTCGTTAAGCGCCGAACTTCAGAGACTCCAAGAAGTCTTGCCTGCACGTGAGCCAGTACGCACGCGAAGGGAGGCAACCTGGAGGGTGGGGGCGGAGTCAGGGCGCTCACGTTGGCCACGCCCACTTACGTCGGCTATAAAGCTCCGCCCGTTCGCGATCTGCTTCTAGTTTTCGAAGGTGTGAGCCGGCAGATCATGTCGTCGTCAAAGTCGGCTATGGTTTTGGGTTACTGGGATATTCGTGGGGTGAGTGCCGCCTCAACGGCTGCGCCGCTCGGTCAGGGGGACGGACGCGGAGCGGCCGGGGGCTCTGGGTCAGCGGTCTCCTAGAGAAGGGGCTCTACCCGGCAGCCACGCCTCCTTCGCTTCGACGCGGCGCTGCAGCCCGAGCTGAGCTCCCCGGCCGCGGAGGCCGACCCCTGCGCCGCCTCTGGGATCTCCGGGCCCCGCGGAAAGGGTTGAGGACAGCAAGCCGCCGGGGCCGGTCTCGGGGCCACTTAACGACCGCTCCGGCAGGATGCAGGGTCTCTGCAGCCCTCGGCCGGCGGACGTTGGCGGGCGGGGTTTGGGGGCCGGTTGGAGCTGCGCAGGCGCTGACCGGGGCCTTTCTCCCCCAGCTGGCGCACGCCATCCGCATGCTCCTGGAGTACACGGATACATCCTATGAGGAGAAACGGTACACGTGCGGGGAAGGTAATGCCGCCGTTCGTCCCAGTGCGCCAGCGCGCTAAGCTAAGCTGGCTCTCGAGCTGTCCTTTCTTGTGCTCTGAGAGTGGCATCACGCCAAAGTTGGGTGGGACTTCTGCCCCAGTCACCTGGGGGCTCTCTGCTGTGTCCTGTGTGGGGAGAGAGACATCCTTTATCTGGAGCTGGAGATTCCCCCCGTGCGGTAGCCCAACCCTGTATTAACGCATAACCGAATAGGCCCCGGAGAGTAAATGGTTAAGCCCGGGGCCCGGGAATGTGAGGTATTGGAACTAGGTTATTTCTTTAGATCTTTCTATTCTCTTCAGGTGGGATATTAAGGAGGTTGGGTTCCACTTCATTCTCTCTCTTACAGCTCCTGACTATGATAGAAGCCAGTGGCTGGATGTTAAATTCAAGTTAGACCTGGACTTTCCTAACGTAGGTGGCTTTAGAAGAGGGGGCAGAAGGGAAGGTCTTCAAGTCTATCCTTGCTTCTTTCCTCTGGGGTCTAGAGGGATCTAGAATAGGAGCTCTTGGATGGAACAGATAGAATTCAGGAGTCCTTGAACTTGGTTGGGGGAAAAAAATTACATTTTTATTTCCACTAACCACTAACTGAAAGTTAACAATTTCTTCTATTGTGAATATAGGCAATAAGTGACATTAGTTATTAGCCATGTCTGTGACTTTGTCACTGTTAGAAATCGGGTATTTTCATATTACATGTGTTGCAGATATTGTAAATTATTACTTACATTCATCATACTTTGAACTTATGATAGTTATTACATCTGCTTGTTATTAAATGCATTAATAGGCACATACTACTCTATTAGAATTTTGTTTTTTTAATGTTTTATCAATTGCATAAATAGATGTAATTTGCTTTATGCATTTAAAACGTTTTTTCTGAGAAAGGATCCATGGCACGCACACATACACAGATTAAGAACCCCTGTCTAGAATCAGGTGGGGACCTAATTGTTACCTTCTACTTATTTTCTTCTTTCTCCTAACACTGCATCTTCTCTCTACTGTTCACTTCCTTGTAAGTCTCATTTTCCTCAGGAGAGAGAGGCAGGGAGGCGAAAGAGAGGTTGTTCATTTGACCTGCCCTTTTCCTTCCAGCTGCCCTACCTTATGGATGGTAAGAACAAGATCACCCAGAGCAATGCCATCTTGCGCTACATCGCTCGCAAGCACAATATGTGTGAGTGGGGTAGGGCTGGTGAGGGAGACCAGGCTGGTTGCTCACCTGGGACTGGATAATGCCAAGGGTGGTTTCTTATCATTTGGCCTACAGGTGGCGAGACTGAAGAAGAAAAGATCCGAGTGGACATCATGGAGAACCAAATAATGGATTTCCGCATGCAACTGGTACAAGTCTGCTACAGCCCTGACCTTGTGAGTTTCCTTAGCAGGCAGGCATCAATGAAAAGGAGCATTTAGGAACCCAAGGGTTAATTCTACTCCATTCTCCTGCTGCTACCTTCCCACCAACCCAGTCTGTCAGAAGAGGAAACAGAACTCTTCTTTTCCGTGGGTTTGGTTGTCATATAACTCTGGTGTTGGCTCTTCTTCCTTTCCAAACCTCTCCTTTCCATCCTGCCACCCCTACCTGAAGGCAGTGAGAAGACACCTGGAGAAGGGGCCACTAAGTGTCTATCATTGGCCCATGCCCTGATTAGCTATGAATGATGACAGCTATTCTCACTCTCTCTTTTTCCCTCTCTCCCAGGAAAAACTGAAGCCTCAGTACTTGGAACAGCTACCTGGACAACTGAAACAATTCTCCTTGTTCCTGGGGAAATTCTCATGGTTTGCAGGGGAAAAGGTAGGAAGAAAGGAAAGGAAGAGGATACCTTTCTATCTCTGCAGGCGTCAATGAAATCCCCAGACCTGACCATCTTATTGTCCCTCTAGCTCACCTTTGTGGATTTCCTCACCTATGATGTCTTAGATCAGAACCGTATGTTTGAGCCCAAGTGCCTGGATGAATTTCCAAATCTGAAGGCTTTCATGTGCCGTTTTGAGGTGATGCTACCTGCACCTTTCCCTTACAAAAACACTCAGACTCCCCTGGGCCCCAAGGGACCCCGTTGTGATAGATTCTTGCCCAACACCAGGTTTTGCCTAAAGGGATCACTGGTTGGAACCTCTAAACCTTTAAGTCTTGGGAAGGGCCTGGCTTCTAAACCATAAAGGCACTGTCTACAAAATCGGTGGTGGAGGGAGGAGGCAGCATGTGAATGTCACTGTTTTGGAGTGAGTCTGTTGGACTGAGTTAAGAGTCTTTATAAGGTTTGGTATGCTTTCCCTTCAGGCTTTGGAGAAGATAGCTGCCTACATGCAGTCTGACCGCTTCTTCAAGATGCCCATCAACAACAAGATGGCCCAATGGGGCAACAAGAGAATATGCTGAGCATGAGGCGACTTGCTCTGTTCGTTTTGTTCCCTCCTGTCCCTAAGGGGCCTGTACTCGCTCTTTTCTCTTCAATAAATAGCACTTAGGCTACTGGTGTCTAGCTGGATTTCTCTTGGGAGTAGAGGACAGAGGAGAGAGAGTAAGGATATGTAGAGAATTATCAAGATGTGTGAATTCAATCACTGCTACATTGACGTCCCCCACCCCCAACTGTGTTCAGTGGCTAGAGGTTCTTGCCAAAGCTTTGCAAGAGAGTACCAGAAATACAGGTGCAATTGCACAGTTGTAGAGAACAGATGTGTTAAATGGGACTGGAGCCCCTGTAAAGACCTGGTGAAGATATCGAGTAAAACTGTGTGGTACTGGGGACTTAACAGAACTGGAGTTCAGAAACAGAGCCTTGTATATGGACTTTAGTGTGATAAAAATGGTATTTCAAACTGGGGGCTAACCAACAAATAGGATTGGGACAGTTACTTACCAATTAAAAATAATAGAACCCTGCCTCACACCATTCACTAAAATTAATTCATCTGGAATTTAAGGCCCAATGTTAAATACCAAGCTATAGAAGTATTAATGAAAATGTAAGAATGTTTGTGATCGTAGGGTAGGAAAAGTTTCTCTAAATAAGACAGGAAAAGAAAAAGCTACAAAAAAAGATTTGCAAATTGAACAGTATCAAATTCTAAAAGTTTTCTGTGATAAGGCACAAATAAGAAAAATGACGAGATAAAAACAAAGGCCTAGTATAATGTCTACATAAAGAACTATAAGTAAGACAACTCAGTTTTGAAAAACGGACAAAAATCCATGAATAATTTACAGAAGTAGAAATATTGATGGCCAAAACAAATGTTAAGATGTTTATAATCCAAGGAACTGCAAATTACACCATGAGAGACCATTATTACATCTATCAGATGAACAAAAATTAAGTTTATAAAGTGTTGGCCAGGCTTGGGAAGGTGGGGTGCATTTCCTACGGCTGAACTTGTAAATTGGTGTAGCTACTTTGGAGGACAATTTGTCAATCTCTTCTAAAAGATCATATCCTGTGACCCAATAATTACATTCTATTAAATAACTCACCCATATGTCTAAGGTATATAGTGAGACTGTGGCATTTTTGGTAATGTTACCACACAAAGGGCACGATCTGCTTGCTGCAGGAAAGAGCCAATCATCAAGAGGCAAGATGGTGGCAGAGAAAAGGTATCTTATTAAGCGATAGGCTAGCAAATCAGAAGATGGGGGGACTAGTGTCCTAAAGAACCATCTTAAGGGGGCACAGAATCTTGAGGCCGTTATATAGGCTAGCGGGTTATAGAGGAGGGGGTTAGGAATGTTGACCCTCTAGCGTTACAGACTGGGAGTGACCACACCAGATCTTTCAGTTGACATTGATGATGGCTATCAGGATAGAATCTCTGTCCAGACACCATCACATTCCTAAGGAACTCAAAAGAACAAAGTCTCTTATTGTAGCAGGGAGGTGTATACACAAGCAGGGGACATGAAATCTACAAAGCAGGTAGATCTGGAGGGTGCGTATGCAGCTGGGTAAGTCAGAGGTCATTCAAAGTTACAATATGGTTTCTACAATATGGCTTCCCTTAAGTCAAGCTTGTGTTGAGCTGCTATCAGGAATAACAAATAAGTGGAAATCGTGTAAATGCCCAGCAATACTAGGAATACCATGAGACAGTTTGAGATTGAACTGTATGAATGAACATGGAATGATCCCCAAGACACATTGCTGAGTTTTTAAAATTAGGTTGCAGATTAGTATGTACAGTATGATACCTCTTATGTTATAAAAAGGGAAACCATGAGATAAGCATTTTCTGCAGATACATTTATGTATGTGAATGCATAGAAAAAGTTCTGGAAGGACACAACAAATGATACCAAGGCTTACTTCGGACAAATCGGAAAAAGGCCCAGGCTCCAGGATGGAGGTTAAAAGAGATATTACAGATAGGCTAAGGACTCTTCTTTTTTACCGAGGAGCATGTATTCATGTATTACTGTGTAGCAGAAGCTAGTTTTAAATAAAGAAAGCAGACTTAAGGGAAACTGACTCCTGTGGCGATTGAATTGGTACCAGAGCAAAGTCTTTGAGTAGTTTCCAGCCTAAGACAGTGATCTGAGGGCCAGACTGCTGTCTGCTGTGGCCCAGGAGCCAAGGATCTCTCTAGGAAGAGAGGGACAGAGGGCCTGAATGGCCAGGAGACCCGGTGATGTTAGGAGGGCTGCCTCAGGAGGGGTTAGTAGGGAGACATGATACTAAGCAGACAGTTCAATAGCCACCTTTTGCCACCCCTGGTAGCAGTGGTTAGGTATTCAGGCCAGTATCTTCGGTATGGGGAGACTTTGGCCAGAAGAGGTGTAAAGCTGAGAGTTTCTCTGCAACCTCATAACTATTGACATGAATTTCCATAGTGTGAGTGAGTGAAGTATGCCCTAAGGGAAGGCCTTGTGGCTCTCAGGGAGGCCGGAGAAGTTGAGGATGCTTCCATAACTAGATAGAGGCTATGACCAGAACTCAGAAAGGGAATGTATTGTTTATTGCTGTGTAATAATATTACCACCAATTTAGCAGCTTAAAACAATACACATTACCTCACATTTTCTGTGGGTTAGGAGTCTGAATACAGCTTTACAGGGTCCTGTGCTTCAAGGTTTCATCCGAAAGCTGTGGTCAGCGTGTCAGCCAGGGCTATGATCTCATCTCAAGGCTCAACTGGAAAAGGATCTGCTTCCAAGTTCATGTAATTGTTGATAAAATTCAGTTCCTTATGATCTCTGGGCCAGAGGGCTTCTGGTTCTTTCTGGCTGTCAGCCGGAGGCCACCCTCGGCTCCTTGCTTCATCAAACCCAGTAAGGGGGAGAGTCTCTTCGAAAGAGGGACACTGCAGTCCTATGTAATGTAACCATGGAAACGATATCCCACCACCTTTGCTGTATTCCATTAGAAGTAAATCATAGGACCTGCCCAGACTCAAGGGGACAGGATTTCACAAGGGTGTGAGAACCAGAAGGTGGGATTATGGGGGGCCGTCTTAGAGTCTGTTCACCACAGGTAAGAAGGCAAGGAAGCAGGAAATTGGCCCTGCAGTCCTCTGAGAAAAGAATCCTGGGAAAGACAGATGACAGAAGAGAACAACATGGCAATTAGAAGGGAGAGGTTTAAAAAGCATAGGTCTGGGGGGCCAGCCTGCTGGCGTAGCAGTTAAGTGTGCGGGCTTCACTTCAGCGGCCCAGGGTTCGTTGATTCAGATCCCAGGTGCGCACTGATGCACCGCTTGTCAAGCCATGCTGTGGTGGCATCCCATATAAAGTAGAGGAAGATGGGCACAGATGTGAGCCCAGGGCCAATCTTCCTCAGCAAAAAGAGGAGGATTGGCATCGGATGTTAGCTCAGGGCTAATCTTCCTCACAAAAAAAAAGAAAGAAAGAAAGAAAAAAAAAAAAGCATAGGTCTATATTGCACATTAATTCCAGATAGATAGATTACAAGCAAAACACATGTTCCAACTTTTCCTAGTTACTATGTTTGTTAGTGAAAATCCACTTAGTTATCCAAAACCAATGACCTTACCGGCCAGGAAAGCAGGGAAGGCCACTGAGAGGATCAGATCCATTCCACAGGAGATGTGATTCCCCCAGGCTCCAACCCGCCCCTAACTCTAATTCTAACATAGGCCAAGAAGAGAATGCTGTCACAATGGCTACCTTCAAGCAAGGAAGGGAAGTGGTTGCCCTATCATCCCAGAGGCAAGAGGCCACACAAATGTTGAGAAATTAGTATACCAGTGATGGGTTTGTGCAAGTAGCAGCAATAAGAGCTTTTCAAAAAAACACTTGTGATAGGTGCATTAAATTTGATGGAGCAGTTCCCCAAAAAGTTTTAGGGAAACTCATTTGTATTCATTGTTGAAGGTTGAGCAAGCTAATTAAGGCATTTCTGATTCAGAAGCATATGGCTGATGTGATTCAAGAAACATTCGTTGTAGAATTATTTCATTGATGGAAAGAATGGAGTAGAGAACACTGATGTGTATGGACATGGATCCCCCTTTAAAGCTAGCTTAAGGGCTTATGAGAACACCAGGACTTCCAACAGAAATTGCACATTCCTTATCCTTCAACTGCAGGACTAGGGGGAGCAATGAGCCACACCAATAAAAAGGAATTTAGGGAGGTCAGATAGTTGGTAGGGGAGAGGGAAGGAATTGACATTTAGTGAGTGATTTTTCTAATGTGCAAATTTGCTCAGGTCACTCCCTCTGTTAAATACAATTAATGGCTTTCTAGGCCTCCAGAAAAAGACAACTCCACCAGTTTACAAAATCCTTCATAACCTGACTTCTGCTTTCATGATCTGGCTTTCTCCTTGCATATGTCAAATTGGAAGGCAACATTTCTGAAAATGAACAAAGATGTGCTCTTAGTGTTCTTTGGGGATTTTCAGTGGAAATAATTATAGGTGACTCATTCGTGGCAATTAAATCCAGAAGAAAAGATTCAATGGAGGTGTGTATACTTCAATTTCAAAGGAAAAGGTACTGCTGTGTTGCTCCACATGGAGAAGAGGGCCAACCTGAGGTTATTAGAAGGGAGTATTTTCAATGGTGCAGAGGGATGGGAATAGAACAAACAGCATAATGTTCATGTTGTGTTATAGTTTGAAGGAAAATTAGAATAGGTCTCTATTTTATCTTCTATGGTGTAATGTTTCCAATTGTTTTAACAGATATTTTTTTGAACTCTGACTGAAACCCTGTCTGGTTCCTTCCAAAATTATGTTTCAGATGGGAAGAGAACTGGAAGAAAGTAGGAACTGCAGGGCGGATGGACAATGCATACTTTGGGCCTTTTGGACAATGCTATGCCTTATGGGGGATTGTTGGGGCTACCCCACAAAGAGGAGTCTGTTGGAAAAAGCCAGATCTGTTTTTGTAGGAATATGACAATTAGCATTTACAGGAAGAGTTTTCTGGAATCCATCAGGATGGGCCCCTCTTATTCTTTGCTTCCAATTCCAAGTCTTGAGTTACCATGTAATAACATGCTGGTCTCTGTGTGTCTGTCATCAGTAAAGATTTCCTCATCATGCCACACAAGTCAGGAAAATGCAGGCTAAGAAAGTGGGATGACGGTGACTCTGAAAGTGGGGTCACCAGAGCGATAGAGACAAGAGCCAATCCAGGAATTGACTTTAGGTTGCTGATATCAGTGTTTAGTATGAAAGCCTTATTAGACAACATCTCTTGGGAATCCTCTCACCAAACAAGGGCATCCTATAAGCCTTGTAAACAAATGCCAAACAGCTTCTCTGCAAATCTGAGTGCAGGCTGTGTCCAACTGCAGTATAGGGCTCACTTGTATTCCCTTTGTCCACCTCCCATTCCCCTACCGTTTTACATAGGGTGAATTGGGAGTCAATGACAGTACACTTTAGACTGTCATTTTCAACATATCCATCTGAATGTTACCCAGAGAGCCCAGACTTGGAACTGGGTACACTAGTTGATGACACTTTAAGTCGTTCTTGTTTTGGCAAAAGGAGGGGGGGGGGTGTTTTGTTTGTACAGGGGATGGTTGCATTACGTTAGGAGGAGCATTTCATGGTGGTGGCTGTAGTAATGGTTGTTTGGAAATGCACATATGGAAAAGAATATGTTTATGTCAGGCCTCTATCCTCTGCATTTTTGAAACATCCTTCTTATGAAGGGGAGTTTCTCACATTTTAAGTCCCACCTCCCCAAGGTAGAGAACTACTAGTTGACCCGTGATATCTATCTCCCATCTTCTGTTGTCATATCTGCTGTCATTTCTTGCTTCTCAGGCAAAAGGTGTCATTTCCAATGAGATTCTAGCCAATGAGATATAAGTAGAAGAGTTATATGTTACTTCCAGGAAGTTTGCTTAAGAGACAAAGAGTAACCTCACTCCTCTTTCTCCCTCCTGCTGTTTCGAACTCAGATATGTGATGGTGCACTAGTGGCCATTTCAGACTATGAGGTGACACAGAGAATGGAAACCACATGCAGAGGATGATGGAGCATTAAGTTAAGAAGCTAAGTCATTAAGGCTACTATGAAGCCAGCATTACCAGTGCTTAACTGTCTCTTTCCAGATCTTCTTTTACGTGAGAAGTGAACTTCTGTCCTATTTAAGCCACTGTTGCTATTTAGTTACATACAGCAGAACTTAGTCCTAATTCATGCACTCACTCTGCCAGCCTCCCTTGTGGCTGAGGCCCAGGCCTGTGACCCAGGCTCTGTTAATTGCACACCGTGGTGCAGGACTTCACCTCGTTTTTTTTGTTTGTTTGTTTTGTTTTTTTGGTGAGAAAGATTAGCCCTGAGTTAACATCCACTGCCAATCCTCCTCTTTCTCTTGAGGAAGACCGGCCCTGGGCTAACATCAGTGCCCATCTTCCTCTACCTTATATGGAATGCCGCCATAGCATGGTTTGACAAGCAGTGCGTCAGTCCGCACCCAGGATCCCAATCGGTTCACCCAGGATGTGAACCCTGGGCCACCAAAGCAGAGCATGTGAACTTAACCACTACGCCACCAGGCCGGCCCCAAGACGTCAGTTCTGAAGAAGCAGGCCCTGAGAATTTGTTTTCTGGCAAGGGTAGTCGAGGAGGGATCAGGATTCTGGAAGCAGCAGTGGTGAGACATTCACATCTGGTGCCACATGTCAGGGCAGGAGCTCCAGTGTCGGTGCCCAGCAAGGGCTGTGGGGCTTTCTCTAGAACAATCTCACAGGTGATTAGGCACACTTCCTGGTCACCCAGCTTCCAAGCCAACACGCTGGCCATCCCAGGGATTCATGTGCTACCTGATACCTCTATAAATCACTTCCTCTTTCAGCAGCAAGGAACCCTAGGTGATACACCACTCCCCCTGGGTCTCTCTGAAGATAAATACTTTGTCTTCACTACCTTAGTCCCTCTCCTACATGCTCTAAATCACTGGCTGAAACCTAAGGTTTCTCCTGAACTTGGGTTTAACCTTTATCCCCACTTTTCTGGGTGTGGGAGTGACTGTAGTTGGCCACCAAAATCCATTCTTCTGTGCAAATATGGGTCTACCCTTGTGGCGAGGTACAGCCACACAACTGAACCTCTCAAATGGAATGTGAATGACTGTGATGTAGGCAACTTCTGCCTCACTTGCATAAAGGGAAGTGGCTTCCTTGGGTTTTCTCTCTCCATTTTCCTTCCCATACTGGTGATAGAGCTTCAACCAAAGGAGGAGGCACCTAGGGGATTGCAGAGCCACAGGATGGAAGGAGCCTGAGTCCCTCAATAACTTCATGGAGCAGGGCTGCCTCAACAGCCTGGACCATTCCCCATGGAACATGAAAGAATAAACTGCCACTCTCTCTAAGCTACTGTCTTGGGGTCTCTTTCAGCTTTATCTTTCTCTGCTAACACAATGATAATGGAGGGATACTAGGCAGGGGACTTGAAACTGACAACAGCTGATCACAGATCAATGCAGGAGCCACAATGCAGGCAGCCGTGTCTTCAGATGTGTCTTGTTTTCCCATTCTCGAAGGGGAAGATACACACTGAACGGTATATGAGCACTGTCACGAGGTGCCAAAGAATCCCAAGTCCTGGGACCTCTGCTAGATCCGAGGCACAATAAAAGCATCTGTTTTGGTTGCCTCAGTTTGAAGTACACACTCTCTACTACTTCTACCCCAGGCTTTTTTTCTTTTTTTTTTAATTGTGAAATTTTTGTTGTACATTATTGTTTGTCAGTCACCGTATAATTGCATCCCTCCACCCCTTGTGCCCACCCCCCATCCCCCTTGCCTCTGGTAACCACCAAACAGTTCTATCTGTGCATGTGTTGCTTTATCTTCCACATAGGAGTAAAATCATGCACTGTTTGTCTTTCTCTTTCTGGCTTATTTCACTTAATGGACCTCCAGGTCCAACCATGTTGTTGCAAATGGGATGATTTTGTCTTTTTTTATGGCTGAGTAGTATTCCATGGTGTATATATACCACATCTTCTTTATCCAATCATCAGTCGAGGGACACTTGGGTTGCTTCCATGTCTTGGCTATAGTGAATAATGCTGCAATGAACATAGGGGTGCATAAGCCTCTTTGGATTGTTGATTTCAAGTTCGTTGAGTAGATACCCAGTAGTGGGATAGCTGGATCAAAGGTATTTCTATTTTTAATTTTTTGAGGAATCTCCATACTGTTTTCTGTAGAGGCTGCACCAGTTTGCACTCCCACCAGCAGTGCATTAGGGTTCCCATTTCTGCACAGCCTCTCCAGCATTTGTTGCTTTTTGTCTTGGTGATTACAGCCATTCTAACAGGTGTAAGATGATATCTTAGCGTGGTTTTGATTTGCATTTCCCTGATGACTAGTGATGCTGAGCATCTTTTCATGTGCCTATTGGCCATCTGTATATATTCTTTGGAGAAGTGTCTATTCATTTCCTCTGCCCATTTTTTGATTGGGTTGTTTTTTTTTTGTTGTTCAGTTGCATGAGTTCTTTATATATTATGGAGATTAATCCCTTGTCAGATACATGGTTTGCAAATATTTTTTCCCAGCTGGTGGGTTGCCTGTTCATTTTGATCCTGGTTTCATTTGCCCTGTAGAAGCTCTTTAATCTGATGAAGTCCCACTTGTTTATTTTTTCATTTGTTTCCCTTGTCTGAGTAGACATGGAATTTGAAAAGATCCCTTTATGGCCAATGACAAATAGTGTACTACCTGTATTTTCCTCCAGGAGTTTTATAGTTTCAGGTCTCACCTTCAGGTCTTTGATCCATTTTGAGTTAATTTTTGTGTATGGCGAAAGAAGGTGGTCTACTTTCATTCTTTTGGCAGTGGCTGTCCAGTTTTCCCAGCACCATTTATTGAAGAGACTTTCCTTTCTCCGTTGTATGTTCTTAGCTCCTTTGTCAAAGATTAGCTGCCGGACCCCAGGCTTTAACATGCATGTTTTTATCTTTTATAATTTTGACCACAACGTTTAGAAAACTGTTTTCATTTGCAACTGTCTTCCTTGATTACATCTTCTCTCTTTTTTTGTGTGTGTGTGTGCTGAAGATTAGCCCTGAGCTAACATCCATTGCCAATCCTCCTCTTTTTTTTGTTGAGGAAGATTGGCCCTGGGCTTACATCCATGCCCATCTTCCTCTACTTTTTGTGGGTCGCCGCCACAAGATGGATTGACAAGTGGTGTGTCGCTCCGTGCCCGGGATCCAAACGTGTGAACCCTGGGCTGCTGAAGCTGAGCACGTGAACTTAACTGCTACACCACCAGGCTGGCCCATCTTCCCTATTTTTAAAGGATTGAATTATTTTATTCTGTTTTCTTTGATACTTAATCACCTTTTACATTTCCAATCTAGTATTTTAGCTTTAATATAGCTACGCCCTTTTAATTTGAGCTTCTAAATTACAAATCAGGAAACTACGGCCACCTGTTATTGCAAATAAAGTTCTGTGGGCATACAGCCCCACCCATTCATTTATGCATTGTCTAGGGCTGCTTTCCCACTCCAGTGACAGAGGTGAGAAACTGAGAGAGACCATATGGCCGCCAAAGCCGAAAACATTTACTATCTGGCTCTCTACAGAAAACATTTGCCAACTCCTGTTCTAGATCTATATCTCTTTTACTCTGATTTAATACTTTTATTCCCTCTACTTATCTTTTATCATAGTGTCATTTCTAATTTCTATTACTTCTTTCCTTTTTTTCCTTCTATACTTTCTGTCTTTAAGTTTAATAATCTTTGGCTTAACTAACTTTGATCTTATCAGTTTCATAAACTTATAGCTTTCCTAAACTTTTATCTTATTGGTTTTATCTTTTTTTAATCAATCAATCATTGATTTTTTAATGACCTTTAACATTATTGCTATTGCTCCCTTGCTATTTCATGACTGGAAGAAGGGCAGGTGCAGGCAGTGACTATTTGGACAAACCCCCAACAGGACACTTCTCCAAATCTGGCGAGGAGAAAGGTGTGAAAAGGAGAAGCAAAACAGCTGGCTCTGAGGGTACAGGGAGGTCCAGCTGTTCTTCAGGGTGTGGACAGCTGGCCCAGCTGACTCCTCACTCCCATCTCCTGGTCTTCAAGGCCCTACTTGTTTCCCCACAGGCAATCTTTGTATATATGGGCCTTGGAAGGAAGCAGCTGGTCTTCATGTAGGCAGGGATCTTCTCCAGGCCCTGAGGGTGGGAAAAAGAAGGTCAGATCTCAGAGTCTGCTGGCCCACTGGGGCTCAGGCAGCACCACTCCAAAAACAACATATCAGGGACCCTGTACAGCTCTTCTTGTGGTGCAAGTGTTGGAGCAGAAGACACTCTTTCTGGGGTCTGCAGCTCTGATAAATTAACTCTCCCAATTTCCTGTAACTAATGTGTGATCTTAATGAGTTACCACATAGAGAGACTCTACACCGTGCGAGGTGCTGTATATCCACTGGAGATATGATACAGGTTTAGACCCTCCACACAACTACCCTACAAGATAGGTTCTACTCTCACCATTTATCACAAGGGAAACTGAGGCACACACAGGTTAAGCACCTTCCTCATGCTCACACAGCCAGTAAGTGGGAGGGCTGGAATGCAGCCTGGCTCTCTCTCCTGCTCTGTGCTCTTTCTGCTGCACTCCCCCCTCTCCTCACCACAGGAGGCCTTGTCCTCCCTGTCTGCACAAACATTACCCTTTCTGCAGAGGGAGGCTCCTGGCTTCCCAGGCTTTGCTCACACAGGGACCCCTAGCAGAACAAAGGGGCTCAGAATGTGCCTGTGCAGCTTGTAGAAGAGGCCACATCTCACTCAATACTCAGCAAAATCTCAACGAAAGCTGATAGGAGAATGTGGAGCAGCAAAGCAGGACCAGACTCTAATTATTCCTCTTAAAGGAGAATGTCCATTGCTTGGGCTGTTATCATAGGGACCTAATCTCACTGGGCCCCAACCTACCTCACCCCCAGTCCTGCTGCAGCCAACTAGGCGGTATGACATGAAGGTGTGTTTGGGCACCATCTTCCCACATACAGTGTGTCCAGTAAGTTCTAAAGGATTCAAAGAGCCTGGGACTGCCTGTACGAATGAGCCAGGTGGCAACAGGCCAGAGTGCAGCCCCAGTTGTCCTCCATCCCTCCCTGCCAGTCAGTCATCCCAGCTCTTGCATAATCCCTAAGGCTCAACAGCCTGGACCAGAACCAGAGCTGATGAGAACTAGCTGACAAAGCAGATTTCGCGATGGGGAGTGGGAAAGGAAAACAGACTGTAGGCTGAAAAACCTATTGCACTAAGGCCTCAAATTCCCAAATCTGTAATCAAGCAGACTTTGTTGTTCTCCACGAGTGGACTCTGGGCGACCACTGATGAGCTGTGAGTGGGGTCCCGGCTGTGCTCCTCCCGCAGCCAGCTGAGCCCACACCCACCACACAGCCTGGTTGCTGTAGCTCTCCAACTGCACTGAGCCCCAGGAAGCTGGGCTCCAGGGCTGTCTCACCTTTGCATCCCCACTGTGCCTGACCCAGTGCCTCATGCACAGGAGAAGATCAGATCAGTGAATGGGACCGAAAATAAATGTACTGCCCATCACTGAGACAGAATCTTGGGTGGAAGGAAGAAAAAAAGGGACAGGGTCAAGGCAGTGCCCCACAACAGAAGACGTCAAGATACAATCCTTCCACAGGGGCACCCACATGTGGACTCAAATCCCAGCACCAACCACAGCCCTGGAATCACTACTCCCGACGGGGAGCCGATTCCTGCCAAGCTTCCTGGAGAACAGGAGTAAATTCTATTTGTGCCTTTGGCACTTAATATCAATCCTACCATGTCTCAACTCTACTAATGCCAGCTCCATACACACTCCTGAATGTTCTCCTTCAACCACATTGTCCTGAGCTGTGTCACCCAGGCTGGAAAAGGATCTTCTCTTTTGGGCACAGGAAAGGAGGAGCCACCGACTGCTGCGCATTGAAGCCCGACACTGCTGGGCAGCGCTGCACAGCCTGTTCTGCCTCTGTGACCTTGAGCAAACTTCTTATCCTTTCAGCCTCAGTTTTCTTATCTGTAAAATGGAGGTGATAATTCTTCTACCCAGTAGGAACATAGTAAAGATTAAATTTGACATAATATATGTAAGATCCTGAGCACAGAGCCTGATATCACAATCCTCAATTAATGCTAGTTTTCTTCATTTTAGCTACAGAAATGGGAAAGCATTGGGGAGAAGAGGAAAGATAGAAGAGACATAAATAGAAGAAGGATCAGAGGAATTACTTCAAAGCAGGCCATGAAGTCCTTCAGGTTTGGGAACGCATCCAGGCACTTGGGCTCAAACATAAGCAGATAATCAACCATGTCATAAGAGAAGAAAGCCACATAGGTGAGCTGCAGAAAGGCAGGTGATGAGCACCAAACTCTGAAACCTGGGAAGAATGACAACTCTCTATCCCAAAGCCTTCCTCCTTACCTCGTCCCCTGCAAACCAAGGCCACTTCCCAGAAACTGTGAGAAGAGCTTCATTGTTTCAGGAAGATCCTCCAAGTACTCAGGCTTCAGTTTCTCCTGAGGCACAAAACAGCTGTCACCACCCTCAGACACAGACTCCCTGGGCAGGGGGCAGGCCTCCCCAGGGTGGTGCATGACCCCCAGCAGCCACGGGCGAGCAGCCATGTCCCCCAACTGCAGCGGGTGGGTGTCCAGGCTGTGATTTAATCCAACCTGTGTTCATTAGACTCCTACTGGGGACCAGCTCCCATCTGTGAGAGGCAATGGGAAGGCAGAGAGCAATAGCACACTGTCCCTGCATCTGTCAGCACTCATCTCCAAACATCTTCCATGGGTCAGACCCAGGAGTGCTGTGGGAACCTGGCACAGCTTTGGACTCCCATTGGGCAGAATCAAAAAGGCAAAGAACTAAAATGGTTCAGGGAAAGAGGTCCTAAGGTCTAGCTAGTGGGTGACAGAATAATAGACATTTGAGCTGATTCTGGACAAATGAGAATTTGAGAGGCTGAAAGGAAGGAGGGAAAGGTACAAAGGCCCTGTGGCTGACCCTGAGCTGTACTGGGCAAATGTGCTGACGACTGAGGGTGTCATGGTCACAGTGCTGGGCTAACAAGCAAACACAGTGTCTAGGAACTGAATTTCCACCCTGGGGAGCCTGGACTTTATCCTAAGATTGGCAGGAACTGAGTCAGAGATTTCATTTGATGCAATTTGAGGTTAAGAAGGTCACTCTAGTGGTAGCATAGGGACCAGCTTCCAAAATCAGTGATTCCATGGAATTCAGAGAGCAAATAGGACCGGTATAGATCAGACACAACAGTCCAGGCTCCTTATAAAACGCTGTCCAAACCCAGCCCACTGAGATGGGACTCAGAAAGTCAGCATTGTAGCAGAGCCTGACCAGGTGCATGCGGGTGTCCATAATCTCGTTCCCCAAACTGTCCACACGAATATTCTCTTCTTCTGTCCCCCCACCTACGGCCACACAACAGAGACTCACCCTCAACATCCCACCCCAGTCAAGCCCAGGGCATGGCCACCTGTCCCCTGCACCCCACCCCCAGCCCACTCACATAGGTTGTGCTTGCGAGCAATATAGTGAAGGATGGTGTTGCTCTGGGAGATCTTGTGAGCCCCATCAATTAAGTAGGGCAGCTGGAAGGACAACACAGCAGGTCGCTTGGGCCTCCAGGCTCCCCTGCACTCCCTCCCTCGAGTAAGGGCAGAGATGAAACCTGGCACTCCCAGTGAAGAGAACCAGGAAGCTGAGAGGCTGAGCAGAAGGCACCCAAACCTGACACCTGGAATCTGGGACAGGAGATGGAGAAGAGAACCTCTCACTTGCCCCCACAGCCCCCCATCCCCTGAACCCACACTGGGGAAGTCCAGGCCCAGGTTCCATTTTTCATTCAGCCACTGCCTTCTGTCACAGTCAGGAGCTCTGGTGGAGAAGATGAGTGAAACAAACCTGCCAGAGTCCAACCCTCCTTCCCGAGTAGGGGGAACCTTCCAAGGAGTCAGCGGCAAGACCCAGACCACGGGGGATCTGGAATCTGAACCACTGAGTCTCACATTCCAGGTTTGGGGGCGAATGCTGATGGGGCTCTGGAAACTACATGAGTAAGACTCACACAGGGTTTAGGCAACTCTAAGGGGAACCCATCCCAATTACTGAGACAGGGGGTCCAGCAATCCCCTCCCACGTGCTGCCTCTGCCGGAGAGCTGCACCCTCAGAGCGTGTAGGGAAGGGGCCAGCCCTGCTCCAGCTGCTGGAGGGCGGCAGAGGTGAGCAACAGGTGGCGGGGCCATGGGGTGTCTGGAACCAAGTCAGCATGAGTTAGGCAGAAGTCGGGACACCACGAGGACGCCTTTACCGTCCCCCATCGTGTACTTCTTTTCCTCATAGTTTGAGTCTGTGTACTCCAGGAGCAGGCGGATGGCGTGAGCCAGCTGGGACAGAAGGCCGGGGCAGAGGTCAGAGCTGGAGGGGCCTGACTGCTGCCTTTCTCTCCAGGTAACCTCCCACACACACCCCAGCCTCCCACACACTCTCCCACCTGAGAGGACAGGCGGCAGGATGGGGCTGGGCTCCAGCAAGCCCCGGAGGAGGAACCTTCTGCCAGAACCGGTCCCCAGCTGCGCAGCGTTTCCCCGCCCGCCCGCCTCCATCCCAGCTGCCCAGGAGGACGCCTCGCTCACCCCGCGGGCGTCCCAGTAACCCAATGTCATGGCCATGGTGCTAGTGTTGGCGCTCTGAGCGGAGGGGCCTCGGCTGAGCTGGGACTGGAATTTATGCTCTGATCTGCGAGTGGGGCGAGGCGGGGCTTGATGCGCGCACCGCTCTCTCCTGCCGCGCCCCCGAGACACCGCCCCCACTCGGGGTGACGCTTGAGGCGACCCCAGCCCCAAGGCAGGCAGAAGTGAAATCCATTTCAGCCACAGCTGCAAGGTCTTGAGGGCCCTGGTCTGGACTCCAGGATGCCGAAGGCGGCCTGGCTCTGGCTCACCCGCCCCCATTCAGACCTCTTCTAGGTCCTAGGGATGTGGCAGTGAGCTTGGGAGACAGGAGTGAACCAGAAAAAGCACAAAGCTCTCTTCTTTCCTTCCCCTCTAGGCATCTCTCACCCTTGTCCCTGGGCTGCACAGCTCCCGCGGGCTCTGGGAGGCTCAGATGCCAGGCTAAGGCCAAAAGGCAGTGCCTATGAAATGGAGGGTTTAAATCAGCACCCGTCACAGGAAGAGCAGGACTAGAAAAGTCTGAAAGCCCCTCCCAGTCCTTATAATCCGAGACTGCCACCTGTCCTCCACAACAGACTCTCAGTGGGGTGAGAAGGACCACCCAGGACAAGGGGCAGAGAAAAGGAACAGTGGTCTCAGTGTTTTCCTTTCAAGGACTTTGGAGGACCAGCCCTTCAGTCATGTGGCAAAGAATAATAAGGATCAAATGTAAACTAATCAATTAGCTATGGCCTAAACTGTGACTCTAAATCCAGAACCAGTCCCAGCGAAGAGGAAGGTATGGAGGTGCAGCCCCAGAGATGTCCTGACAGCCAGCTAGACGTCCCTCACATTGACAGGGACAGTGACTCGGACTGTAGTGGTCACAGACAGAGTGTGAGCGAGGGGGGAAGAGCTGTCCTCTGAGGGGTCAGATGCCTGTTTTGCTACAGACGACAGCCAGATGGGTGCAGCCAGCCAGGAGGTGGAGGACTCCCCACAAGACCATAGTCAGAGTAGGCCCTGCCCATCTTTGGCTGTCCCTAGCCACAGGGTCACCGGTTCCTGTCCTGAAACTGGCTCCTGACCTATGTGTGGTCGGGAATGAGAGGGTGGCTCAGGTGGCCTTTGAAGTCCCTCTGTGATCTGTGACCTGTGGTACAACCTTTATGAGAACAAGGTCCTACCAGCCCATTTTCCTCTTTGAAGGTAGAAGACTATTTCAAAACTAGAAGAGGACATAGTTTGGCCTGTGGTTCATTTTCCTTTGTTTAAAGGATATTACAGGGTTTAGTGGATATGTGAAAACAGAGGAGTGGAACTTTAAAAAAAAAAAAATGGGTTTACAATTAAAGGGCAAGATTGGTATACTACAGAAAAATAAGTTTTAAAATTAGGTAACACTTTGTTAGGATAGAAAGGTATGAATGCAGGATTCAGTAGAGGTTTCCAACCACCAAGATAAAGTCTGGAGTGGTGGTTGAGAAGGACATAGAGACTTTGCCTAAATGCTATTAAATCAAAGAAGTCAGAGGTCTGTGCATCTCTGCTAACTGGGGAGCTGGGGGGATGTCACCAGAGGCCAGCAGAGCTCAGTGCCTGTTGCAGAGGCTCCCCACCCATTCAGACCTTGTCAGTCTACCAGGCTCCAGGTCTGAGTCCAGGCGCAGGATGCAGCCTCTAGGGTCAAGGTGAATTCCAGGTAGTTTGGCCCACAGGGAGGTGACAGCAACCGTGCACACACACAAATGCGGGCCCTCTTAATTGTTATATTTGTCATAATACTTTAAGGAGTTGTCATTCTGAGTTTATACATAACGAGTTTGGTACAGAAAATTTAGCAGATTCCACTGAGAAAATAATTTTTTTAAAAAAGCTAACATTAAACAGATTAATAACTATTAAAATAGGTAGAACAGATATTGTTAACATTAGCATTCATCCATCTGGTCATTCCTTTATTGAAGAAACAATCATTCAGATTATTTCCATGTGCTCTCTCTTGATTTTAAAATGTCGGCAAGTTCTAATATTTTGAAACAATACTGTGTAGGACATCAAAATATATTGTTATAAATTTGCCCTAAGGGCCTCTGGTCTGACTTCTGGGCTGCATTCCGTAATTCTTTCCAGCTCTACTGTTAACACTCTAAACTCTTAAGGTAAATTAACAGAAATTGTATGTAAAATAGCTTTAGGGTACAAAACCACATATTATAAATAAATATCAACAGTAGAATTAAAATGTCCCACTTCATGGCAAGTTTTTAAAGTCTTTTAAATATTGCCTGTGTAAACTTATGAAATCCAGGTTATAAAGAACATTTTTTTAATCTGAAAATAAGAAAATAATCATAACCATTTACAATATGCTGCCAAATTGGAATTTAGAAAAAAAATTTTCTACGTGCTTATCTTATTTTGAATAAGGAAAGACAAACTAGCTTCAAGAATTTAGAAAAGTAACAAAGTTCAAGGTGGAAAATATAGAAAACAAGACACCATACTAAGAAGAAAAATATTGAAAGTTAACCAACATGCTTATAAAACAGTGAGTTCTCTGGAAATATTAGCTAAATCAATAGAGCATTAATCCAACAGCAAAAAAAAAAAAATGCAGTTACAAATTAATAAAAATCAGTCACACATTTTCTGAAACTGAGAAAACATTTTTCTCAGCTAATGGTTAATTCATGTTACAACCAAGTGGAACAAACACAAATATATCAAACTGTGTTAAAAGAAAGAAATATTCTGAATGGAGTAATAATAGC